CCCCGGATACAATTGGTACATTGGTTGGTGGTAGAGCTGGGTCGTACGCGTACACATCGGCCGATCTTGGTGTGTAGCTCATGATGATAAAGTTCTTGCCAAGGCAACAAGTGTCGGCGTTGGTATCTATTTCGTTGCTCGCCGTCGTTCCTGGTGTTGGTTGTTGCACTGGTCGCTGGGATGCAGCTGTGTTGGATGAGATCACCCTTACGATTCGTCTGATCTCACTTATCGCGTTTCAGGTCCTACCGCTTGCCTGTTGGTTGTTTGCCTGTTGGTTGCGTCCGCCCATTGCTGTAGTTCCAGTTGTTCCCATAGTCCCTTGTGATATCTGCATGGCTGCTTCGGCTGGAATTGTAGCAGGTACGTTGTTGGACCTAATTGATGCTACTTCGGCTCGCAATTCCGCCAGCTGCGTTTCCACTTGTTGCGTTTGTGCGGCTTGTCCCGTTGCCCTTCTTACTGGCAATCCTTGACTTTCTCTGTATGCGGCTCTTTCCTTCGCCATACGCTTGCTTTGCTTGTTGGTAAACGCTTGTAGGTGTGTCCGAGAGAAACGGTAGCTAGGATTGTACCAGATCTTCTCTCCATTACTCAGAGTAATTTCTTCTTCATCGCGACGTTTGTTGCCTCCTCCATCGTTTCAGCTTCTGCTTCTATCGCAATCGTTGTCAGCCCTAGTTTCGCCCAAGTATCGTCCCCTATCGGTTGCATTGCTGGTTCCCTGGGGAAACTTTTCTCTCACTGCAGTTTGGTAGATTTGTAGTGCTGTTGTGAAAGTCATCAACATCGGTCTTTTGCCAATTTCTGTATCTATTGCCGTCTTGTTCAGTTGTAGAAATGGTGCTGTAACCTTGTTTTGTAGGCTACGCAGTTTCATTGCGTCTGAATGGAATTCTCTCCCCTCATGTTTGTCGCATGTTGCATACGCTTTCTTTAACATTCGTTCAAACATGGACCAGTTCATTTTTGTTTTCCGCCAATGTAACACAGTTCTTTGATGGTGTGTTCGGCTTGGACAATGTCGCTGGCTAGGATTCCTTCGCCTTCGTAGTGGGTACGTAGTGCGTTGAATGCTTCTCTCCCATTGCCCGCAATGTTAATGGCTTGGAGAATTGCTTCAGCTTCTGTATTCCCCACGATAAACTTGCTGAGAAGGACCAGGACTTTGGCGTTATCCATGACGTATGCTTCGCCAACGTGTGGTGCCATGTTGACGTAAGTTTCCA